GGTCGTTAGTGTTCAATGTGTCAAATCTATTCTTGAGATGGTCTCTAAATTCAGGTGGAATATTCTCAAGGTTGCACTTTGGCTCACGTGGACTTCTTTTAATTTCCCTCAGCTTCAACTTGAACTTGCATGTGAGCAATTGATGGTGTGTTTGGCAGTCAGCCCCTAGCCTTGTTCTGACTGAAGATACTGAGTATTTCCATGATCTCTTTCACAGATGTATTTGATTTAATTCCTCTGTTTTCCATTCAGTGAGGTCCATTTATATAATCACCAATTATGTTGTTGAAGAAAGGTATTTGCAATGAAGAATTCGCTGGTCTTGCAAAATTTTATCGTGCGATCTCAGGCAAAGTTTCTATCTCCAAGGCCATACTTTCCAACTACTGCTCCTTCTTCTTTGTTTCCAACTTTCGCATTCCACTCACTAGTAATTATCAGTGCATCTTCACTGCATTTTTGGTCAATTTCAGACTGCAGAAGTTAGTAAAAAAATCTTTAATTTCTTCATCTTTGGCATTAGTGGTTGGTGTGTAAAGTTGAATAATAGTCACAGTAAGTGGTCTTCCTTGTAGGCGTATGGATATTATCCTATCACTGACAGAGTTGTACTTCAGGATAGATCTTGACATGCTCTTTTTGATGATAAACGCAGTGCCGTTCCTCTTCAATTTGTCGTTCCCGGCATAGTAGACCATCTGTTTGTCTGATTTTGAAAGGCCAATACAAGCCCACTTCAGCTCACTAATGCCTAGGATATTGATCTTTATGAGTTCCGTTTCATTTTTGACAACTTTCAATTTTCCTAGATTCATAGTTTGTACATTCCATGTTCTGATTATTAATGAATGTTTGCAGCAGTTTCTTTTCATTTTGAGTCATGCCATGTCAGCAAATAAAGGTCTCAAAAGCTTTACTCCATCCACATCTTTAAGATGGACTCTACTTTGAGTATGCAGCTCTTCCCCAGTTGTACTTTGAGTGCCTTCCAACCTGAGGGGCTCATCTTCCAGCACTATATCAGACAATGTTCCCCAGCTATTCATAAGGTTTTTACTGGCCAATTTTTTTCAGAAGTAGATCACAAGGTCCTTCTTCCTAGGTTGTCTTAGTCTGGAAGCTCTGCTGAAATCCGTCTACCATGGGTGACCCTGCTGGTATTCGAAATTCCGGTGGCATAGCTTCCAGCATCACAGCAACATGCAAGCCACCACAGTATGACAAACTCTCAGACATATGGTGGACATTAGGAATGAGTATTAGGGCATAAATAAAGATATTTTTAAAAAGATATTAAAATTATAAGGAAATATTACAACTATTTGTTGTAACATATCACTTAAAAAGATTGAATTTTTTCACTTAATAAAATTAGAAAACTTAAAAGACACTCAGCCTTAGAAGAAATTAGTAACGTAACCAAAGAGCTGTCCTTACAGAGAACATGGAGTGCATATGGTTTTAGAAGTGCAAATGGTTTCAGGTGTGTTACCAAATGGTTAAAAATAAAATAAAATAAAATTCCTGTGTTATTCAAATTGTTCCAGAGATTAGTAAAAGGCAAAATGTTTCTCAGTCACATCAGACAAGGAGAGTGCCTAAAACAAAAGAGGATAAGACATACTTGCAAACCCATAGGCTAATGTCTGTTATAAACATAAACTTAAAATTCCTAAATTAATATCAATACATCTGATCTAATAGGGCTTATTTTGGAATGCAAAAAACAAAAACCCAAACCAACTACCGTCGAGTTGATTCCGAGTCATAGTGACCCTATAGGACAGAGTAGAACTGCCCCAGAGGGTTTCCAAAGAGTGTCTGGTGGATTTGAACTGCCAGCCAAACACTTAACCACTACGCCATGTATTCCATTAGCAGATAAAAAGAGAAAACCAGCTAGCATTTACTGAGCAAGTATGTTTCCAGGCACTGCTCCATGGGCTTTACACTAACTCATTTAATTCTCATTAATAACTCTATGAAGCTACATAGTACACTGCAGGGGTGGAGGTAAGATGCATTGTTTGGTTTTAAGCAGGAGAATGAGAATGAGCAGTATGACATTTTAAAAAGATCAGTGTGGCAGCTGTGTGGAGGGTGGTTTGGAGAGGGGAGAGTAGAGGCAGGGAGGCCCATTAGGGAGCTGCTGGCATAATGCAGACAGAGGTGATGGAGGATGGGTAGGGGCAGAAGCACCCATAGGAAAGAGCTCTGACAGGTTGGATACTCAGGCTCTTCCCCCTCTTGTTCTTTTCTCCAGCTTTCTCTGGTTCACTGTCTGCCCAGAGCTCTCTGTTTCAAGGTGGAGAGTATTGGCTTCCTTCTTGGGCTGGGAGCTGCAGGGAGCAGAACTTGATCTCCTGTGTCTTCAACTTGAGTCTAGAAGGGAGCTTTGTCCTGAGAACTCTCTAACTTTAATGGCTTTGGGTAATTTGTCTAAAACCACTTTATTAATGACCAGTTCTATCATTCAATCTCCTTTTTAATGTCTTTTTCCTATCTTTTTTTATATCCAGTTGGTTTTTGCCAACTATTTTTTTTGATGATTTAAGAATTTTCAAATCAGCTTTCGAATGAACCAATTGAGAACACTTCTGATATAATTTTGCATTTCTAATAATCAATTTTGCTGTATTTTATGACTGCAGAAATTTTTATATCCTTTTGGGTAAATTCCTCTCCATATTTCATGTGTATTTTATGCCTTTTAAGACATCTTAGAACTTAATCTTTACAATTTAGTTTTTATATTTAGAACATCAGAACAGATTCAAAAACTCTAAATGAGGGTTGTCAGTTTGACCAGGTTTTAGGCTAACTCACTTTAGATAAAGGGGAAATCAGAATGCCTGTTGGGCATGACCACACTCTTTACCGTATACACAGAGTCTAACGATGTCCTCCTGGAATTTTCCTGAGCTGAATTTGATTTTTGCTTCATATAGTCCGCTCATTTCCGCAGTGAGGTTCCTGATGCTCAAGAAAGCCAACTCTGTCAGGCTGAATCTGTGCTTGTATTTGTCTTCAAAGTCATACCAAGCAGGATCAGTGGTGTTAGGCCTCCAGGACACCAGCAATTGATTTTTCTCATCCTCAGAAATCCAACTCCACTCAATCTCTCGGATGGTAAGGGGCAAGGAGGAGTTCAGTTGCAGCTGAGCAGATTCCCCCACAGTCCTGTTCAGTGTGCAGGGAGAGTGGAGTTCTTTGACAGTCTGGACACCTGTGAAAACAGGAGATAAGATTGGGGGAAGAAAGGAACTCAGCAAACATTTATGTGAAATGACTATATGCTTTCACATCACATTCATTTGATTCACAAAAGAGAATTATCTTCATTTTTACAGAACAGAAATAGAGCTGCAGAGCTAACTTGCCTAGGCATTGATCTTGCCTAAAACATGGCAGTCTTGATTCAAGCCCACGTCTGTCACTCTCCCAGAATCATGCTCTCTCCTTCTCTGGGAACTTGCACCCAACATGTCCTTAACCTAATTTCATGGCAAAGAAAATGAATGTTAATAAAGAATGCTTAGATTTTTCCACTTGTTTGTACACTCTGGGAGAAAATCATTCTCTGCTGCCATGATTTTTTCCTTAAGCCACTGCAGCATTGCTCTTCTGAAATTGCTCTTATGTCACTAATAATCCCCTAATTATCAAATCCCACTGTCACCACTCAGTCCTAGTCTTACAGGACCATATTGTGGCATTTGACATGTGACTAATTTCTCTTTCTTGAAATTCTACTCTACTCCTTTGATACAAATTTCAACTCCTCTGGTC